AGGCAGGCACTGTAGTGCTGAGCTAAATCCCCAGCCCTTTGTTTGGCTTCTAAAATAGCAGATGGGGCTGGGCCTGTAGCTCAAGGGTGGAGTGCTTACCCAGCATGCGTGGGGTCCTGGGTTCTATCCTGGCGTCACAAAAAATGAATCTATTTGGGCTGGGGATGTCCTGGTACATTACAGGTGCTAATTGACTTCCCACGTACATACACTTGGGCAAAGATCAAAATTTATGTGCTTAGATGTATGCTTTTTTAAATTTTAATTTTATTCTTTTTTTCCATAATTTTATTGAGAAACATAGCAATGAGACAGTTTCAAACCAAATTGGTAGGACAGTTTCAATAATTAACACATTGCATTAGATATACGTTTAAAAACACAAAAATGGGTCGGGAGATAGCTCAGCAGCATAAGTGCCTGCCTGGCAAGTACAAGGTCCTTAGTTGGATTTACGGTACTACCCTTAAAAAAAAAAAAAAGTAAGGCTTATAGTAAGTTCTTTGAAAAGTATCATGCATTTATAAGATCTGATCGACAAATATGGTGAATGCTTAAATTCTTTTTAAAAAGCTAGTGTGGTAAAAGACACGTTGCCGTTAATCCCTCTCACTTGAAACACAGCTGTCACATCCGTCTGGCCTGTTTCACACCCGGCTGGGATTGAGGGCCTCTCCGAGTGTCTGCTGTGTGGTTGTGGCTGCCTCCTTGGCCTGCTTCAGTTTCAGGCTTTCAGCTTTCATGGTCGTTTTGACTTCAGGGAAGAGCCAGAAGCCTCACGGTCCCTCTGGGTTTGGTGAGAAGGGTGGAGGAGGAACCCCTAGGATTGTAAGGAGTCAGCATTTTCAATGGATGGTGCTCAGCAACAACCTTCACTGTATTTTTGATCAGACCTTGCAAAGATACTCATCAAAGAGGGGTTCGGGAACTGTTTCAGGAAATTGCAAGAATGACAGGATCTTTTTTTTTTTTTTTTAATGTATTTGGTTACGGGGTCTCACTACACAGCTTGGACTCATAGTGATCCTCCTGTTTTCAGCCTCCCCAACGCTAGGATAACAGGTGTACACCACTATGCCTGGACTCTGTGGCTGGCTTAGCCTGCCCGGGGGGCTGGGCTGGCATGGCATGTCATGCAGTGCCATGCCATGCCAGGGATCGAACCTCAGTCCCTGCGCTTGCCTAAGCTTGCCT